GAAGTTAGCGTTCTCCCAGGGAATTCTAACGATCGCCTTCATGAATCGGTTTTAAATCTACAGGCGGCAAACGGAAAACCTATCTCTACTTATGGCAAAAGGTACGTTTATCTTAACATGGGTTTACGCAAACCCATTCGCTGGATCTTTGTTTTTGTAGATGTTTCCATGCCAATCATTGATATGGACCTCCTACAGCACCAAAATTTAATCATCGATACGCGCAAGCGGAGGCTAGTAGACGGAAAAGCTAGTTTATCTGTTCGCGTGACTTCTTTTTTTGGTTGCAGATTGTCTCCAGTCACGCTTATGCAGACGATAGGCCCATCGATAAGTATTCTGGGATATACCAACCGCGACCGAAATCGCCGTGTGTAAACGGCAATGTTATACATCACATCACGACTACAGGACCATCAATATTCTCGAAAACACGCCGACTCAATCCCGAATAGCTGAGGTTGGCTAAAAACAAATTCAATCACATGATAGACTTAGGTATCACAAGACCGTCAAACAGCCCGTAGACATCTCCGTTGCACATAATCCCTTGTTTAATATTCGTTATCAATGCCTCAAGATAAAAAAAGCAGGTGATGATGACTGGGTGAAGCATGTGGGGTTAGTAGACCGTGAATGCAAGCGCTTCAAATTATCTGCACTGACAGAAGATCAGCTTAAGTGCCTAGTGTTGGTGTGCAGCCTCCAATCTCCCGAAGATGCTGATATTAGAACCAGGATTGTGAGTAAAATTGAACAATGTCGGAACATAACACTACAGGAAGTAACCACAGAGTACCAGAGATTGGTAAACTTAAAAAATGACACTTCTACAGTCGAAAATAATGGCCAGTTGCCATACGTTCATGCTGTAAGCGGGAAAAAAGATTTATGCTCAAGAAAATTATCACACACAGACAATCAGCCCTCATCTCCATGTTGGTCGTGTGGAGGTTGGCACTATAAAAGGTTCTGCCCATATAGAGAACATTATTGCAGTAAATGTCACCGAAAGAGCCATAAAGTAAACAGATGCAGAAAAATAACCCATAAACGACATTCTTCGAAGCCCTATCTCAAGAAATACAGACATTATGCACTAACTAAGTATTGGTATCACATAATCGAGCACGAATTTGCCGCCGACGAAAGTATGTGAACGTAGATATAAATAAAAAGCGTGCCCGCCTGCAGCTCGATACTGCTTCCGACATCACACTTATCAGTTGAAGAACTTGGAAACTTATCGGAAAACCACAGGTGCTACCGACAACCCAGTTAGCTCATAGCGCTTCTGGAGGAAAGTTGAACATTGTTGGAGAGGTTTGTTGCACAGTTTCAAAAGGAAACGCGAAGACAAAGGCAATACTATATCTCACAGAGAACCCAGGACTAGATTTGCTGGGTCTAGACCTATTAGAAACACTACAATTAACAAATAACTCCATTAACCACATATGCAGCGCTGTGAGAACCAGTAAACCAGTTGAGAAGGATCTGAAGAATGTTGTGTTAGAAAGACATATAGTCAAGTATATACAGAAGAATTGGGGGAGTGCAAAAAGGCAAAAGCAGTACTAATTCTTAAACCGGGAGTCACTCCCGTCTTCAGACCAAAACGTCCTGTACCCTATGCAGCGTTACCTATTGTTGAGCAAGAACTAGAGCGCCTGCAAAGAAGTGGAATAATAGAACCAGTGAACTTTTCCGATTGGGCAGCACCAATAGTGATTGTCAAAAAGCCAAATGGAAGTATCCGGGTATGCGCAGATTATTCGACTGGATTAAACGAAGCGCTTGAAGTCCATCAATACCCTTTGCCGGTACCAGAAGATTTATTTGCGAAACTAAATGGGGGTAAGTATTTTGCAAAATTAGACCTGTCAGAAGCTTATCTACAGATTTCAGTAGCGGAAGAATGTAGGCATTATCTGACAATAAACACTCATAAAGGATCGTTCCAATATAACATACTTCCTTTTGGAGAAAAAACCGCCCCTTCAATCTTCCAACAAGTTATGGATACTATGTTGCAAGATATTCCTGGTACTGCGGTCTATCTCGATGACATATTGATCATGGTCACAGACTATGCTGACTTAGAGAGTAAGGTGGACACGGTGCTTAGACGCATAGCAGATTATGGGTTCAGGTTGCGTGCTGAAAAATGTGACTTTTACATGGAGCAAGTCTGTTATTTGGGATTCATAATCAATAAAAACGGGAGAAAACCTGATCATGAAAACGTTGAAACCATCAAGTCCATGCCCCCACCGACAGATGTATCAACTTTACGTTCTTTCTGGGGAATGGTTAGTCATTATGGCGTCTTTCTTCCAGATCTGCATCGCCTTCGTGCTCCACTTAATTGTTTACTGAAAAAGGATATCAAATGGTTCTGGTCAACCGAATGTCAAGAAGCATTCCTAAAACTAAAGCAGCTCCTCTCATCAGACCTTCTACTTACACATTATGACCCAGATCTTCCAATTATAGTCGCGGCAGATGCGTCAAATTATGGAATCGGAGCTGTAATTTCACATACCTATCCTGACGGTTCTGAGAAGGCAATCGCCCACGAAGCAAGATCGCTGACCATGACTGAAAAAAACTACAGTCAGATTGAGAAAGAAGCTCTCTCCATCATATTCGCTGTAAAAAAGTTCCACAAGATACTGTTTGGCAGAGAGTTCACCTTACTGACAGACCATAAACCGCTACTGACAGTTTTCGGATCTAAAAAAGGTATCCCGGTATATACAGCAAACCGTTTACAGAGATAGGCAACTACGCTACTGGGTTATGATTTCAAGATAAAGTACCAACCAACAACCGACTTCGGACAGGCAGATGCCCTCTCAAGGTTGATTGATTCGCGTGCAAAACAAGAAGAGGACATGCTTGTAGCTGCCATAGAAGTCGAGGCTGAAGTTCACAAAGTAATAACAGACGCAGTTTCCGGACTTCCGGTAACATTCGAAGCCATTAAAGAAGCTAGCAAGAAGGATAATACATTGAAGATTGTTCACCGCTGCAAACTCAACAAGTGGCCTTCATCTAGACTACGTGACAAGCTCTTACAATATTTTCGTCGACGAGATTCCTTAACAGTTGTCGACTCGTGCATCATGTTCGGCCACCGTATCGTTATCCCTAGAAGTCTTCGGCACCAAGCCATTAAGCAGTTTCACAGCGGGCACCCGGGGATAAGTAAAATGAAATCACTAGTTCGCAGCTAGGCATACTGGCCGACAATGGACCGTGATATAGAACAAAAATGTCGCAGTTGTTGGTCCTGTCTAGAGGCTGCGAAGAATCCAACAAAAGCTGAACCACAACCATGGCCAAAACCGGACGGGCCTTGGCAATGAATACACGCCGATTTTGCCGGATCAATACAAGGCAGAAATTACTTAGTTGTTTTCGATGCTTTTACAAAATGGCCAGAAGCATATGACATGCCGAAAACGACATCAGGGAGTACAATAAGAAGATTGTCAGGATTGTTTGCCTGTTTTGAGGCCCCAGAGATCTTAGTGACCGACAACGGCACTCAGTTTATGTCATCCGCTTTCAAACGCTTTTGCACTGAAAATGGTATATCGCATCTACAATCTCCTCCGTACCATCCTCAGTCGAATGGCCAAGCAGAAAGATTTGTGGATATGATAAAAAGAGCTCTGGTCAAATGGAGAGGTGAGGGTATCCCAGAACAAGTGATCAGTAAGTTCCTAATGTCTTACAGAATTACCCCTAATCCACCAGTACCAGGAGGAAAGTCACCAGTCGAGTGTATGTTCGGAAGGAAAATTCGCACAGTCTTCAACAGTATGTTGCCGCCCAGAAAGACAAATAAACCCACGAATGAGTATCGTACGGTCACTCATAGCTCCCACATGGTTGAAAGGGTAGTTGTCAAACGTATCAAGGTAGTAGAAAGTGGGATATAGATGTCATAGAACGTCGAATCAGAAATGTACTGAACCTAGTCCGGATAGGTGTCGGAAAATGCATAAGATACATAAATCAAATACAAAGCGACAGCAGTAAAGTGGTCCTAGAAAGCCGGCTCCCATTTCACTTGCTCGTGGAATCACCTCAGAAAAGCCATCATGAGCGCAAACGACGCAAAGGAAAAGTTGTACAACCCTCGTGAGTGATGGACCGTAAGAGGAATGCGGCAACCAAGTTCCAAGTGGATACGATAAAGAAGTCTTACACATCGGATTTTAAAGAGGGGAGGTGTGAAGACGGACCACGGGTGAACTCGAGGAAGCTGTAAGAGGTTCAGAAGGAGCCGAACATAATCCATCCAATCACCTCTCGGAGGAATATTCTAGAATTCCTAAGTGTGGCTTCCCGATTGGACAAGACTAATAACCCACTGTATGTGGATTGGAGGACTGTAATGATGATTTCGTTCTTGCTAAAAAGCTATAAATACCTGACGATTTTGTACCATAATTGACACTGTTTGGAATAGTATTACTTTCACTAGTCTTCTGTCTTCTCTTAGCGACTTGGAAAGGTTTTGGCGTTCTAGTTCTCAGTAATACGCGGTATATCAAGTGAACAATCTTCTAGATATAACAGATTGCATTGCAAATCACCAGCCTAGATGATCTATGTCAAATGATCGGAGTCCAACTGGAGTTAGACGGGAATGGTGTGACGAGCCAGCTAACGTTGAAGTCACATCTCGTGGTCAGCACCCTACGTGGACTACCCCATTAACGTATCTAGGTACTAAAGATGCTTTGAAGACTGTACGATACAGAGGACGTTATTACAAATGCTTCTTCTATTCCGTCCACAACTATTTGAACTACTATTTGAAATTTACAATGAAAACACACTGAAACTGAGTAGCAACTAACAGTCCAATATTTATTATGAATTTGACCTTTAAAATGGTACAATTAAGATATTTGCGCCGCAAAAGACGGACATATTTTGTTAAAGTGCATCAAAATCTAGTAACAAAGAATTTTTGTGTTCGGCGAATATTTAAAAATGGTGTCAGGTATCCCGGATTTATCAATATCAGAATATCAGTTTATAAAGACGATTGGGAAAGGATCATACGGAGAAGTTTGGCTTTGCAGACATAAGATCGATACAAAGAAGGTAATATATTTTTTGTCAATCTATATAGTGAATAAAAGTACGTCATTAAAAAAATAGATGTGACAAAATCTTCTGATAAGGAAAGAAAAGCAGCTAAATTGGAATGCCGGCTGCTCTCCGAGTTTAGACACCCAAATATTGTTCAATACAAGACTTCTTTTGAATATCGCGGATTCTTGTATATTGCAATGGGATTTTGTGAAGGAGGTGATCTTTACACAAGACTTAGAATGAGAAACGGGGTTCTTTTATCGGAACGTGTTCTTGTTGAGTGGTTTGTTCAGCTTGTTATTGCCTTACAGGTATCTTTGTTCCTAATTTTTCGAGTGATTTTAGTATATGCATGAGAGAAATGTATTACATCGGGATCTTAAAACTCGAAACATATTTCTCACACGATCTAATATTGTCAAACTTGGAGACCTTGGAATAGCTAGGTATTAACATAATTATTCAACATTTAAGACACAGAGTGTTAGAGTCTTCTAATTCAATGGCTACAACCTTAATTGGGACCCCCTACTATATGTCACCTGAGCTATTTGCCAATAAACCTTATAATCATAAAGTAAGTTCGTAAAAATTTTGATCGTCAGTCGGATATATGGGCTCTAGGTTGCGTTTTGTATGAGATGTCTACTCTTCGGCATGCCTTTAATGCTAAATCATTCAACGCACTATCATATAAAATTTTAAGCGGAAAGGTTAGCTCAAATGCAAGAGTATATCAGCTTCTATAGGTTCCAGATATGCCTACTCAATATAGTCCAGAACTTCTTGAACTGATGCGTGCAATGTTGCACTTGAAACCAGAGAAACGTCCATCAGCGAGACGCGTTTTATCTAATTCATTCATAAGGAAACATATTGTTCTATTTCTGGAAGCAACTAAAGATCGGTAAGTTTACTGATTTCAAATTAGAAAAGTAATTAAAACACACATTTAACATTATCATCAATCACTACACTTATTCCTAAATTAAAAATGGAGTAGTTAGTTAAAACTATCAGTTGTCAGATTTGTCCTAGAAAGACATGTGAAAATGCTTATGAAGAAAATTAGAACTTAAGAATGTTCATTTTACGTTTAGTTTAGATGGACAGCTAGGCTTCTAGCGAATATTTGATTTTAATCTTACGAGCAAATTTTATATTCTGTCTTTTGTCCAAACTGGTAAAACGCAGACTATTCAGCATTTTTTAAATGTCTTACATACAATAACTGCTATAAGTAAATTCATTCAAAACTATTCTCGTTTGGGCACATTGGAAGTAGAAGCTGACTTTGCCAGTATAATTCCGTGGAGAAAGCTGCATAATAATACTAATAACTGGTAAACTGACGCAAGTAGAAAGTTATGTTAATCTTAAAGTAATTGGAATTTACATAAAGAACTCAAATTTAAACAATAGATGTTTACAATGCGGAAAATTTGTCCTGCCAATTTCAGGCCAATCATAGCAGTTAAAAACAGGTGACGGAGTGTATTTTATTGCTTGCAATAATTTATCTTTTCTGATCGTTAGTATTAACTGATAAATTTGACCATCCTATGGCGTTGTGCAGGCTTTATAAGCAGATGCTTCGATATATTGCCAACAGTTACAGCTTTATTAGATTTTTAAGGCTAGAATACAAACTTTCTGTTACGACCAATAGTTTATTTTTCGTTTAAGCGATGTATAATATTCCTATTGCATCAGTTACACGAACGAACTTAGCACTTTACACACTTTAAATAACGAAGTAGTTGAATTTTGATAGGATGGTCATTATATGTTTAAATAACCATACACTTCTCTGAAGTGATTTATTCCAAGCTGCCCATGATTACTGAGAAGCATATAACCTATATAAGTAATATGCCAGAAAATTTAGTATTTTTTTGAAGTCTACTAATAATATGTTTACAGAGTTTACTATATGTTGGTATGAACAAAACATAGAGACTAGTTTTCAACAACAATCTAAATGAGTATATTACTTTATCCAAGCGCAAATCACTCCCGAAACCATTCAACCATTGAAGATAAAGTACAAAACGTCAATCAACATGAAGAATGCAAAACTGGTGTTCCTTCAATAACTAATCAATTAGCCAATGAAAAAAAAATGAGCAATGAGAAAAGAACAAATCAAATAGAACAGGTTAAATTGATCTATTACTAATTTATACATTTGAATTTACGAATTGATTTATAACATTGCCAAAAATCATTTTAGATTACAGAGATTATCATAAGATTGTAACAAATATTTTGGCTAATAAATATTCATGGTCATTGTGAAGTACTAGTGGTCATTTTGTACAGCTGACGAAATAAAGGATAGTAAATTAGAATATTGTTCAAGAGAATGCAATCCACAGTACATAAGAGTAGCTACGTTTTACGCCTATACACATATTTGCAATATGCCTATATATATATATATATATATATATATATATATATATATATATATATATATATATATATATATATATAACCGTATTAAATATAATCTAGTTATAAAAAATCAACTAGCTTTACTATGCAAAAAATTATTTAAAACGATTTATAAAATTGCTTTCAGAAGGTAGTTAATGGCTTTAGTGAGATATTATGACAAATTGCTGAAGTTACAACAGATACGTTTACTCTGAAATTCTCAATTTTTTTGACTTGGTTAAGCTGGATTTTTACCAAGCACTGTACTATTTTATGTATGTATCGTACATATACCTTACATTTTTCAGTTTACAATGTATTCCAGGTGATCTAATACGAAGATCTTAAGCTTTTGAATATGATTGGATCCTAGGTTTTGCATGTAGCTATATTGTAGTTAGCGATAGAATATTTTTGACTTTCCAGACAAGAGAAAAAATCAGTATTTTTGACTAACTCCTTTTTTATATTTATATAATATTGTTTAGGGTGTTGATATGAGACTAAAATCCACGCATTTCTGCTTTATACTCTTAATAATCAAATGTTAATTAAATAACTAACTTGAATTGTAAAATCTATGAATGTTTACTAGAAACAAGGCGGTTACTAACAAACAATAAACCTGCAAAGTTTGATTTATCCCACAGAAAATGAAATAAAAGAAAACTATTCATCATGGGTGTGGTTCTTCTTAAAAATTTATATTTCTAACCATATGTAAGAACTATAGGTAGTTAAGAATGACTTATTAATATTTTTACGACTGAATATTCTTAATCAACATTTAATTAAGTTACTATGTAGCACTGGTATAATGATACGTTGTGTTAGCTTCTTTTGATTTAATTATACAAGAACTGAAATGATGTATAGCCTGTATTATTGAATCATATGAATAATATAAACTAAATCAAATCAATTTATAAGGTTGATTAGTTAAAATGCTGATTTTTTATCCAGTTCCAACTTAATTCGTGAATAATGATTGTTTGAGATCATGAACCAATGATGTGAGATCACCATTGAAAACCTGGAAGCACTAAACAGCCATTTTATCCTATTGTGGGACTCCTCAACAGTGCACATCCACAATCTCGCTCTCGAACTCTTAACCTTTAGATCACTGAGCCGGCCAGTATTCAATGGCGTTAATGTCTAACCTCAACCAATCCACGAAATTGCGCGAACATCTTTCATTGTACTGAGGTAGATACCTGTCTCTGTCACTTCATTTAATGTTAAACAATCAACATTTGGCTAAATGTAATTAATTTATACCTTAGATTTATTGACACTTATCAAACGAATCGCAAAAGTTGATTTCTCTTGATGATTATTAGTTAAAGTGAACACAATAGTTGTATATTGAATGCACGAAAAATGAGCAATCGATTATAAATTCATGGATAGATAACTTTTGTGGAAATTAACCAATTCAAACATCACAGAAATAATTCAAATCAATTATGTTGTAATGATAAATATCTGTTGACTATTTTAGTAAAAGAAATGTACTCTTGACAATTAAGCCCCTGGCGCAAGAGTGATAGGCTCTGGATTCGAATCTCACGGGAGGAGGGATCGTGGATGAGCACTGCTGAGAACTCCCATACTAGGACAAAATGACCGTTCAGTGCTTCCAGGTTTTTCATGGTGGTCTAGCTTCAATTTACTCATGATTTCAACCAGTGAAATTATTTAATTACTAATTGACTTAAACATATTACAATCAAGAACATTCATTGCCTGTCATTAATAATCATATTCATTTAATTTTAGCAACCAGTTATCATACATAATGAAGAAAACTGTGAAAGAAATTCACAGTCATTATTAAAGCAAACCTTGTCTACTGACCGAAATGATAAAGGTTTTACAAACTCACCAATAGATGAATCAAAAGTTGATTTTTCAATCAACAATGTACCAAAAGAGTTAAATCAAAGTATTAAGATATCTTTAAATGCATATGGACAACATGAAAAACAGAATAATGAAAGTATTGTTAATTGTATTGATGAAGTTAAAGATGATTCACTTCATAGACGTTTATCAGATGCTCGATTACGTCGTCGTCAACGTCGTCGAATGTCGAATGAAGTTGAAGGTAAGTTTATAGAGCAAGTGTTTTATTTATCAAATATTTTTAAAAGTGTATTGAATAGATCTTTTAATATAACAACTAATTTTAATTCGATTTATCCTTTAAGCCATAAACTGGAGTTATTCAAATGAATATGTTTCTGTCATTTTATTACATTCACATTTCTTGCTTCGTTTGAGCTAATACTATTGTATCAAATACTGTAGAACTGTATAGATACAGTTAGAATAGTTAGTCAGTTTTTTTACTGCTAGATTTATGTAAGGGGTTGTTAACCAGTTGCCCACACCGTTGAAGGATACTTCTTCCTGAAGAGTTTGGAAAAGAAACTGGATTGGGAAACTGGCTGCGTAACCATAGAATCCAGAGGACAACTGCTCATGACCTGTCACATAGGTTTTTTGTTAGTAATTATTAGTGTATTAACTTTTTACTTATTAAACCTTACCAATGCTGATGGAACTTAGTGGGGGGTACTTTTAGGATCGCTTTTTTCCACTATGAGAAGGTAACAGATAATGGTTGTTTGAGAGGAAATTTTACTGTCATCACATTCCAGTAGTGTCAGTTGCACGACCTAGCTTTCTGGACTTAATTTATTACCAATAGTCTTACTGCTTTCCAACAGACCTACTTGACATGGTGTTTTCCAAAGAAACATGTGATTCAGTCAGTAAATTTTGATTTGGCCATTACGATGGATAAGCTTGATTACTACGTCAAAGTAGCAGTGACTGTCGGGACAGTCAGGAAAATAGATGAATAACCTCAAGACATAGTCCCTGGTGTCGATAAGTTTATATGATAATTGGAAGTATTCAAATTTTTATATCAACTAAGACTTTCAGAAACGGTATAATTTATGGCAAGTAGAACTATATGAGTACAAATGTATGTATTTTATTTGGAATTCGTAATAATTGGGTCATCAAATACTAAAGAATTATTAGTTCATACAAATACAACAGTTTAGTACAATCAACAGGAATTGACAAGCCTGAGAAGTCAGTAGTGATAAGGGAACAAATAACAAAATAACAAGAAAAATCTAATTAAATCTCTACAACAAACTGACAAAATGATTTAGTTTCAGTATTATATTGGTTATTGATAAGAAGAGTAAGCTGAAATACAATAGACAATACAAAGTTTCAATATTTAGTGTCTGTTAGCGGGATATAGATTAGATTAAATCATGCTCATTGCACGCTTGCGTTGGCGCACGCTGGTTGGCTAATTCTTAACCAATCAGCACTAGCCCGATGCTTGGAAAATACTCTGGAATCTTCTCATGTAAAAAACCATAAATATCCTAACTGTTTTCCTATTGTGCTTCTTTCTTTCATCTAACCTTGTTATTTGGAATACAATCTCTTTCCTGTTCAACCGTGTTCTGATTTGGGGACTTGTCGAGCGAATTGGTGTCCAAGAATAATAAGCAATAGGAATAGCTGGGTTATAACTGTAAGAGAGAGAATTATGACAGTGTCCATGAACGATTTTTGAAGGTACAGACGTAAACGATGTTACAAATTCATTCCCTGTTTATCTTTCTTTCACTTTTGAACTCTTGTCTCCCATCACAGATACCTTTCCATTCTGTCTTTTCAAGTAATATTCTAAATAGTTTACTATTTCTCATGATGGATTCTGCTACATTATTTCGATTTTTATTTTTTGGTATTTATCTTATTATTTTCATCTCTTTATGCCAATGTAGTGTGACAACTTACTCTAACACACACGTCTATGCCAGATTGTGTTGATGATATATCTTTGTCAATAATAATATACATTAACATTGATTGATAAAACATGTAAAGGTTTGAAAATCGTTTTTACTGTCTCTCAAATCGTTATCTCTTTAACTGCTCTAACTTTTCTCATCAGAACAAGTCATGAAATTACAGATTTTTTGGTTTCAAATGCTCTCTATAGAACAACAAAATTGCAATAACGTACATAAACTGTTGTGTTAATGTAAATTACTCACTAACTATTACTCTTAATCACTTTCATTTCATACATATGCGAAGGGGTTTTGTGGATATTATAGTAATTTCAACAGTTTAGATCATGAGTCAATTGAAACTATATCATCATTGAAAGCCTGAAAGTACTAGACGGCCTTTTCGTCCTATTTCGGGACTCCTCAGCAGTGCGCATTCAGGATCCCACTCGGCGGGAGTTTAACCCAGGACCTATCGATCTCGCACTCGAACGCTTAACCTCTAGACCACTGAGTTGAGACGGTATCATGGATACATACTGCTAAGAAGTCTCAAAATATAACGAAAGAGTTGTTCAGTGCTTTTAAGTTTTCCATAGTAGTCTAACTTCAACTGACTCATAATTTCAACGATTAAAATTATACATTAAAGTAGTAGATTCATAGACCACATATTCACCATTCGTCAGGTTTTGGAACACAGGCATACTTATCCGCGTCCGACAATGGTGGTCTTCCTAGACTTAAAAGCAGCATTTGACTCTGTAGATCGAGAGGTTCTGTGGTAGTGTCTGTCATTGAAAGGCGTACCTCAGAAGTACATAAACCTTGTGAAGGCTCTTTGCTCGAACACTAGTAGTCGAGTCAGAGCTTATGGCGAACTGTCATCCGCTTTTGCAACCTCAAGTGGTGTCCGTCAAGGCTGTCCACTTTCTCCTTTTTTGTTTAACTTTATCATAGACCTGCTGACGGAAATAACATTCTCATCGACTGAATTCTCGGGTATTGATCTCCTACCAGGAGGTCCACTTATCGACTTAGAATACACAGATGACATAGTCCTGTTTGTTGGAGACGCTGATAAAATGCAGAGTCTTTTGGTAGCACTGAGCCACAATGCCAGAATGTTTGAGATGCGCTTCTCTCCATCTAAATGCAAGTTGTTGCATCAGGATTGGTCTGCGTCAACACCTGAACTAAGGATAGGGAGTGAAGTAGTCGAACGCGTCGACAACTTCACTTATCTTGGAAGTCTGATCAGCCCTAATGGGTTGGTGTCTGACAAAATCTCAGCACGGATTCGAAAAGCTCGTTTGGCTTTCGCCTACTTACGTCACCTATGGCGCAGGCGAGATATCCGTCTATCAATTAAGGGACGAGTATACTGCGCGGCAGTTCGTTCCGTTATACTATACGGCTGTGAAAAATGGCCTTTAAGAGTAGAAGATACTCGTAAGCTACAAGTATTTGACCACAGGTGCCTTAGAAATATTGCGGGTATCTGCTGGGATCACCGGGTAATTAATAGTGAGGTTAGACACAGGGTATTAGGAAATGATGGTAAATCAGTTGACGAAGTTATGAATCTTCATCGACTGAGATGGCTGGGCCACGTGCCGCGTATGCCTGAACACCGATTACCACAACGCGCAATGCTCACTGGTGTTAGGGATAATTGAAAGAACGTTAGGGGCAACCAAACCAAAACGTGGCATCAGTGCTTGAAGTCACTAACTTCTGGTCTGAGCCATGTTGGTAGATGCAGACTGCCTGGTTGGGGTCCGCGTGACTATCGTAACCAATGGTTGGAGACTGTGTGTGACATGGCCCAGAATCGATCACAATGGCGTCGGTGTATACACTCTCTATCTTCCTTTAAACTAAGAGATTAAAATCACTTCAAATCTTTCTTTCTACGAACTAATTCTATCTTCCTATACTATCTCCTGATACACACTCTTTCTTCTATATATTACCACCACTGAATTAACTACTTGTATGAATCCGGTGTTTATGTTGTTGTGCTAATGAGGCATGGCAACTTGAACCGATGTATATATGTGCCTAGTCCTACGTTGCAGCTGACTGACTGATTGACTGACTGATATTCAAGTTTACATTTAACTAATATTTTCTATCATTTTAGGCAAACAACAATATAATCATCAACAATTTAAACATGAATCTTATAAAGAACATATTGAACCTATCAAATCATCAAAATCAATTCATGAAAAATCTGATAGTAACAATTTTAATTTAAAATTACAGAAAATTTCAAAATTTCATTTTTATTCATTTTCTATATTACCAGTATCCAAGTTACCTAAATTATATAAGAATAATAATCAAATGGAAAATAATTCAATAACTAATACAATAATAAAACATCATTCATTCAATCATAATGATGAAATAATGATAAATAATCAAAATATTGAAAAATCATTTATTAATCCAATTATTAATTGTAGTATGAATTCAACACCTCTCATAACAATTTGTTCATCATCAGGTAGTGATCAAATAAATAAGGTATTTATTATATTCTCTTATTTTATCATTGATAAATAGAATTGTTGTAAAGATTAGTATTATATTATGTTTAGTTAAGTTATTGTAGCTTCTGAATAGATGAATCTATTCATTCTTATTAAACCATATTTTGAATTTAAGGTGGTATATGACTTTGTTTATTGTAAGGTTTTATGGTAGAGTTTTTATCACCTTATAAAAGCTCTCTACTTGTATATAACTGGTTGAGTGAGAGTTTATGATGAACTGTTATCAGAATTGATTATCTCAAATGGTGTTGATCAGAGCTGTCCACTTTCTTTATTCTTGTTTAATTTTGTTTTTGACATGCGTTTGGTGACAACCTTTTCCTTATGTAAATTTCCAAGAGTTGAACTTTTATCGGGAGATTCACTTGTTGACTTAGAATATACCGATGACATAGTTCTATTTGGTGAAGACACTGACAAATTTCAGAGTCTTCTGATAACTAAAGGCAACAATGCAGGTATGTTTGGGATGTGATTCTCTCCCTCGAAATGCAAAATGTTGCTTGAGGATTAGGTTGCATCGACACCTGAACTAATGATAGGAAGTGAAGTAGTTGGGCGTGTCGACCGCTTCACTTATCTCGGAATTCTCATCAGCCCTTGTGGTCTGGTGTTGGACGAAATCTTAGCACGGATACAGAACGCTCCACTAGCTTTTGCCAACTTGCATCATTTGTGGCGTAGGCAAGATATCCGTCTACCAGTCAAAAGACGGGTTTACTGCGCAGTAGTTCACTTTGTCCTACTTTATGGCAGTGAAACATGCCCGGTAAGAGTAAAGGATATTCGTAGGTGATGCAGTTGTTAGGAAACGGGTACCAGGTATGGATGGCAAATCAATTGATGAAGTAATGAAACTTGATAAGTTGAGATGGCTGGAACACGTGTCACGTATGCCCGACTATCGACTGCCCCACCGTGCAATGTTTTATGGTGTTGGAGTAAGTTTAGAAGAAATTTAGGGACGGCCAGACCGAAGCATGGTACAAATCAATGAAGTCACTGGCAAGTGGACTGAGTCATGTTGATAGATGTAGACTACCTGGTTGGTAGCAATCAATGGTTAGAGACCTTAAATGACATGGCTCAAAATTATTTGCAATAGCGCAAGTGCATCCACATTTTGTGTTCTCCCAAATTCTAATCTTCTAAATTCTTCATGTCCCTTTTGTTCTCTTTCTAAATTTATTTCACTAGATTATACTCCTTAAATAACATCTTCAAACCCCAATTTTTCTGATTACTGCTTATACTCGTACTAGCTCCATCACTTAGGGATTTGAATCGACAACTGTATCTCTGTGCTAATGTGGTATGGCAACTCGAACTGATGTACGTACGTACGTACGTACGAAGTTCTACGTGTTTTGATAACCACCAACTTGTTCGACAAGTGTGGGGTATTCAAGCGCCGATTTGAACGTCAATACTGGGAAGTACATACATCCAGATGATGAGACCTAAATAAAACGAAATGTTCATTCTAGATTAAATTATTAACCACAATCATAATCATAATCAACTTGTAATAAAAAGAAATATGGAGTATTTATTCAAGGAACCCATATATGAACAGAAGCTAATATAATACAGTCTTAAATATCAACAACTTTTGAAAATCGATTACTATCACTGTAATTGTAACTGATGATTTTAACCCATTGATAAACAGGGCTCTTATTTTGAAAATGTCTTAGATATTAGTTTTTTTAAATGGATTCATACTGTATTCACTGTGGAAACAGAACATATAACGTCAACTCAGTCGTGAATAAAGCGGTAGCGTACCAATAATGTTGAATGAGAATTGCTCTTTATTAAAACTGAATAAATGCTTAACAATAATTCACTAGTTTTCAGGTGAGTGGTCGAAAATAATCGTGCTTATAGTACAGATTTGAATTTTCATGGTCATAGATACACATTATTGAGAAATGTTTTAGATTATAATGAATAATTTTCATAATTTGATAGCCTATCAATATATCGAGAATCGACTGATCTAGACTGGCTAGCGATTGAAGGGGATGTTGAGAATGGCGTTCCCACTCATGATCTAGTGCGTATGAGTGACCGAGCACCTTCAGCTAGGTGAGTTCATTAAAACTAATGTGGTCAGCATTCAATATTGAAGACTTATAGAGCTATTGATTTTGGGGATTTATTCACCGCTACAGATCACTCCCCCCCCTAGTAGAGTAGTGATGACCCTAAGACGTGGCCAGCCGGAATTTTAAACCCAACGAGTTTGTCGTTGGTAAACACTCTTTTGATAGGTTGCTATGTTTAGCAGTGTCTGATTGTCTTTCCTTACTATAAGGGACCATGTAGTACCATTTTACCACTACAAATACTAGAAGTCGATTTCAAATGATATGCATTTTGTAATATGTTCATGTTTTTAGAACGTCCTAGAATGTAAATCGAATTCTATATCACAAATGAATCAAATTAATTCTAATGAAATTAAAAATACAGAACCTTTGAATAAGATTTCATCAAGTAATCAATTTGGAGATAACTTCAGAAAAGAAAATTTGTATAATAATATACAGGCATATTCTACAGAAGAAGATAATAGAGAAAATGATATTAATAATCAATTAGTACATCAAAAGTAGGTTGCATTACAAAGTTACTTTTTGTTGCTCAGTAATTCTTTTATTGATCTAAAAAAACTCAGTGAATACAGTGATCGTGAGTACTGTTAGAGTAGGTATGAGAATAGTTATCATTTCTTGGTTGCATACACTGTGGAAGGGATCTTCTAGAGGTTAGGGGTGGTCTTAGTAACCTGAGAGCATGACCGCAGTGCCCAAGGAAAAACTGCTTGAGATCGGTCACACACGACTATTTTGTGGGTAATTTTTGTGTTAGCTCCGTACTTGTTAAAACTTTATCATCGGAGACGGGTATCTGTGGGATAAAACGAGGTGTGTATTTTAGGGTCGACCTTTCCTAACACCACTCTTCCTTTGTGGGAAGGCAGCATCGCTGTTATATTGGTTGTCTGAAAGATATACTTTACTCCCATCATACCTCCGTGCAGTCAAAAATATGACTTCGCCTTCGGACCTCGGGTTTGGTGCTTTTAGCCTTACCACTCTTTAATCGACCTGTTCCAGCCAGTATAGCTCGACTGGTTCATTACGATAGGTAAGCTCGACCACCAAGTCAAGGTAGCAGCTGGTTAACATTTATCTTTTAGCAATTTTTTAAATAATCAGACTTATTTAAACAATGTGTGGTATTTTACATAACACCAGAGAGGTGACTCAGTGGTAAAACAATCTGAATTTATCCACTTGGTCCAGTGATCCAGAACATTATCGTCTACCTAGGTCCTGACAGATTGTCACTACAATTTGTCTCGTACAAACAGTATGTCTTGATGCTATATACATGAATTGCATTAATTAATTGATCAAAACTTTGTACTTTGTAAAGGATATTTCGATTCTTTAGCTCTCCAATTTATTTTTAATAAACATTCATTGCTTTAAATATGAATGAAACCTAATCTATTACACTGTGTCACTTGTGTTTTGATTTACTAAATCGCCTGATCCAATGGAACTAGGTATATCAGTTAAGCTTACAGTTGATTTCTCAAACACAACTACTAATCATGATCCAACTGATTCTTATGAAATAAGTAATAATATCTAAAAGTGTTTCATTCTAGATTAGTTTTGTCAATAGTTTGTGAAGAATATTCCATTCGAGTATAGTTTTGCTTTAAAAATCTTAGAGAGCCACAGAAGACTAGAAAATGCAAAACAGCCATTTCTTTTAAATATGCGACTTGACTATCATAGGTCGATAAATGAATCTTCAATCTTTATCGAGAGCTAGTTGACTATAGATGATCTAACTGATAACTAGAGGTTCAAATTTTTAAGTTCAATCAATTCATAGTACTATGCAATCATAATTCGTTCTCATTGACTTTCCAGTGCTTCTTTATTTTTGAAGATTGTTTTACTAATATTATCAGAAGGGGTTTTGTGGAGATTTTAGAAGTTTCACTGGTTGAAATCATGAGTCAATTGAAGCTAGATCACCATGAAAAACCTGGAAGCACTGGGACGGGGGGCAGGATCGTGGGTGAGCACTGCTGAGGAGTCCCATACCGGGACGAAACGGCCATTCAGTGCTTCCAGGTTTTCCATGGTGGTCTAGCTTCAATTGACTCATGATATCAACCAGTGAAACTACTAATATTAGTTCATGATGCAGACGATCAAATTTTCCCTTTGGAAACTAAATATGTTGATGAAGATTCTTAAAGTATTCCAATTATCAATTTTTACAGATTTCTTAGTTTATCTGATATCATTTCAATTTTATTCCTGTTTTATTTGAGTGATTACGATTTCTCTGATTAACGTCCGAATTTTATTGTCAGTAAGGAGTTGTGAATAATATTGAATTTCATTGAAATCATGAACTGATCTAAGTAAGAGTTCTGATGAGAATTCTTGACCAGTGAAGCGATTACCCACCAAAGACAATAGAAGACGGTCACAAAATATAGTAGATTGATTGGAGTTAAATATTAACACTTTTGGATGCACACTCAATGGTCTAGAGGTTAGGAATTCGCGCAAGATCAAAGGTCTTGGATTCGACTCCTGTGTGCAGGGTCGTGAATGAGCACTGTTTGGAAGTCCCTTACTAGGATGAAACGGCTGTCCAGTTGTTTCAGGTTTTCAATGGTAGTTTAAGGTGGATAGGTTCATGATTTTAATGCAAGTCCTAATTTTATTCTGATAAGTGTTCGAGTTGATTTATAGTAACTTTTTTCTAAAAATTGATCAATGAAATTCGATCACTACTAAATACTATCTAAATATGACATCGGTTACTGCTGATTGGTCAATCAGTGTAAATATCCTAGCTTTATGAGAGGTCTAGTTATCTTATTAGTAACTTGAGATTGTAAACCTGGGTTTCGCGCGTCCGAATTCCAAATGAATTACGAAGCTCTTCATGATTAAACATAGGGCATCGTGACGAGTACCAACTAGCAATAAAATTATGCTAGGGAAGACCTCTCGTTAAATATCTGTAATTACTACAATAATCTATAGATTATTGTAGTAATTTTGACTAGTCATAACTTTATCCAACACTTTAGAAAATATCCTAAAAAGTTTATTATCTATTGGATTCAATGAGATCATAATTATGACTAGTTAATCCATCTCCAATTCTATTAGTATACTATCTTTCTTACATTTCAGTGATGATAAAGAAATTGAAGCTGTTGTCAATTGTTTAGCGGATACTTTAAAAGATGGTTGTCATCCTGGTGCACCTGCTATAATTCCACGTTGTAAAACTGGTAACAAAATGCCAACTGTTTTTGCTAATTCGAACAATTGTGTAAGTAAAGATCAAAAGTTGTTATTCAAGCCTAATTTAGAGGATAATGGACCAATTGAACCAAGTGAGTTTTAAATATATTTTTATTTCGTTGAATAGTTTTGTAGGGATCACTTACTTACTTATTTACGCCTGTTACTCACAATGGAGCATAGGCCGCCGACCAGCACTCTACAACCCACTCCGTCCTGGGCCTTCTTTTCTAATTACATCCAATTCTTGTTCATTTTTCTCATTTCTATCTCCATTTCCCGGCGTAACGTGTGATTCGGTCTTCCTCTTCTCCTTCAACTTTGAGCATTCCATGTGAGGGCTTGTCTTGTGACGCGGTTTAGTGCTTTCTTCAATGTGTGTCCTATCCATTTCCAGCACTTCTTTCTGATTTCTTCCTCCGCTGGGATTCTGGTTTGTTTTATCTCGTAGTAGATTGTTGCTAATAGTGTCCGGTCAAACTAGATCACTGCTTTATTTTAATTTGCGACTCTTTAGAAGTATTCACCCAAAACCATGTAGGGAATGGAACTCAGTACTTTACTTGTTACAAATTAGTTCAAAAATAGTTTTACTAGTTTGAATGTATATAAATAAACCTGTGCATGCGTAAGGACACAATAAACTCTATATATTGGAGTGGAAGCAAATGATATAATACATTCGTATTACTAAAATTGATCTTGAACGATATCTTCCGATACATTACTGTTATCTTTTAGAGTCAACAAAGAAATCTATTTTGTATCGTTCGTTTAAATCTTCTCATTGATGCTTAGAACTGCAATCGGAAGATTCAAACAAACAATACAAAGCGAATCTAAACTTTACCCCATTACACAAGCTAATGGCTATCAGGACTCAGTAGCTAAGTGAATAACGCGATAGCGCTTTAAGTGAACGGTACTGGGTTCGAGTATCAGAGTGAACATCAACACAGATGCAGGTACATCCAGTTGGTTAAGCTAATTACAACATTTCATCCACTTACTTCAAACTGAACTATTCATAAACCTTTTTAAGTGTTTTATCGAACCGCATAAAAAAACCTTTACGTTCACTAGGGAAGCCTTGATCTGTAGAGTTCAACTGTGACAGTACCCTTGTTTCATCAGTGCCACTGGATGATCATCACATTATTTCGGGAATCAACAGAACTTGGAAATATTTAACATTGAATTTCTGTTCTCTAACCGAAAATGTGGATGAATTCGGAGTGAAATCAAAGTCTCCTAAGCTTTATTTTATGTAGGTTCATGAGGAGTCCCAAACAAAGAATAGAAAGTAATGAAATCCCTGCCTACTTTCCATTGTTTTTTTTTTGGATAATGTCAGTTCACGACACCAGATAAATTCAAATATTAGAACGAACAGTGTAATTTTTCACTGCTTTTAAAAAGTATGAAACTCCGACATCAAAATGTTAGTCTTTCGCTAAACCTCAGATTTTCTAAATATCATCTTATTGTGAGTTAGTAGTAATTGTATAGAAAGAACTGAGGAAGAAATTTTAACTAGGGTTTTTTGTACTTTACCCCGTAGAATTATGTAAATTTTTTATAAGCACAATCATTAGGCTACTTGGTAGATAATAGACAGTGTAGGTACCGGTAAAGTAATCAAAATCATTTGTAATTGTCATACGATTATTATCTCTTTTTGTCTATTGTAAATTACTGTTTTTCTAAGACATAAGTATGTTGTACTAATTTAATGGTTGAATTCATGAGTCGATTAAAGCTAGACCACCATGGAAAGCCTGAAGGCACCGGACGGCCATTTCGTCCTGTTATGCGACTCCTTAATACCATTGGATGCCGGCTCGGTGATCTAGAGGTTAGGCGTTTGCGCGAGAGACCGAAGGTCCCGAGTTCGAATCCCGCAAGTAGAATCGTGGATGCGCACTGTTGAGGGGTCTCATACTAGGACGAGACGGTTTTCCAGTGCTTCCAGATTTTTAGCAGTGGTCTAGCTTCAACCGACTCCTGAATTCAACCATTAAATTACTACAATCTTCACAAAACCCCCCATTCTGATAATAATCATCATGTACTCACAAGTGACTGGCTTCAAGTGGTATTTCCTGGAGTTCTATTGAGAAGTCGTGACCAGTGGCGTTAAACCATGTACGTTGTGAGGCAGTAACTCACTGAAGACAATTGTGAACGGTGGCGTAACTTCGTGGATTGGTTGAAGTTTCCATTGTGGTCTAGCTTTAATCGACTCATGAATTAAACTATTAAATTACATAAATATTTGTCAATCATAATTACGTTAAATTACATGTTCTGTGTGTCATACCACTTCTCAGTTTGTTTTAAAACATCTATCTCAATTTAACTAGCTAAAATATGCCAAATCTATATTTGAGTTGTTTTCAGTCGACTTATTTATTTGAACACGTAATCAACGGTACAAGGAGCCACCAAATGCGTATGCTCCACATAAATCATTCGATTTGTGTGAGGGCTGAGATACTGTCCGGGTGACCAAACCGAAGCAGATGGTTTTCTTACGGGGTTACATCCGGAGCCTTCGACCTAAGGGTCTGAGCCACAAGGCAGTGGAGCAACGTAAGAAGATTCAATCCAATGGTTGCCGGTGACCTTTAGGATACTGGAGCCTATGTGCACCATTGGTTTGGAGTCAGAGTTTTCCAACTCCCCTAGGTGGATTCTCCATATCCACCAATCCAGTTAAAGCACCAGACATTCCTTTTTTGTCCTCTCAATTTTATAAACAATACGTTTGTTGCGAGAAGGCAGTGAGTAGGACTTCCCTGGCAGAAGCTATAGATGCGTGGCCATGTGAAAGCATTTCGTGAAGGAGAGAGTTGACTCTCCCCACTTTCAGCCGTGCCAGAGCATTTGAGAGCTTGAAATAAAATTCATTCACTTTATTTAAAAGATTTTGTTGTTCATACTATTTTGAAATTACTATAAGAAAGTAATTCACCGTTCAATCGTTCATTGTTCAATTTTCTTTGTTTTTTTCAGAAGAAGAAACAATCAATCGATCTGTACATTTAAAACAACATTTTATAGAATTACAAAGGTATGATATTTTATGTTTAGTTTTTTTTGACAATAATCAACATATACTCACTAGTGACTGGCTTCAAGAGGTTTATCCTGGAGTTCTAGCCAGAAGTAGTGACCAGTGGAGTTCAACCAGGTCTGTTTTGGGATAGTAACTCACTGAAGACAATGGTGGATGTGTAGCTCAATTTCGTGGATTAGTTGAAGTTAGACATTAACACCGTTGGATACCGGCTTAGTGGTCTAGTGGTTAAGTGCTCGCGTGCGAAACCAGTAGGTCCTGGCTTCGAATCTCGCAGGGGGCGAGGTCGTGTATGCGCACTGCTGAGGAGTCCCATAATAGGACGAAACAGCCGTCCAGTGCTTCCAGGTTTTCCATGGTGGTCTAGCTTTAACTGACTCATGATCTTAATCATTGAAATTAGTACAATCTCCACAAAACCCCTTCTGAAAATAATAACACTTTATAAAACATCATATAAACAATAAGACTGATCATTTTTGGGTAACATTAAAATTCGTGCATGGAAGACAGCTGACAGATGCATTCCAAGTAAGGACCGGAGACAGACAAGGCTGTCTATTCTCTCCCACTTCCTCTTTCTTCTAGTGATCGAATTGATTATGAATATTTCGACATCTGAGTACAAACACGGAATACAATGGACAGCTCAGAACCAATTAGACGATTTGGACTTCACAGATGACCTAGCCCTCCTATCGCATACACGCGAACAAGTGCAGATAAAGACAGCCAGTGTAGCAGCAGTCTGTGCATCAATAGGCCTCAACATAATCAAGGGGAAAACCAAGGTCCTCAAATACAACACGGAGAACACCAATTCAATCACACTTGATGGCGAAACTCTGGAAGATGTAAATTCCTCCACATACCTGGGAAACATCATCGATGAACATGTAGGATCTGATGTAGACATAAAGGTGAGGATTGACAAACCAAGGGCCGCGTTCCTACAATTGAAGAACATATGGAACTCAAAACAACTATCAACCAATATCAAAGTCACAATCTACAATACGAATGTCAAGACAGTCCTATTGTACGAAGCTGGAACTTGGAGAACCACTACAACCATCATCAAGAATGTACAAGTATTTATAAATAGTTGTCTACGCAAGATACTCAATATCCATTGGCCGGATAGCATTAGCAACAGCCTTTTGTGGGAGAGAACCAACCAGCTTGCAGCTGAAGAGCAAATTAGGAAAAGACGATGAAAATGGATCAGACAGACATTGAGGAAATCATCAAACTGCATCACGAGGCACGCCTTAACTTGAAATCCTGAAGCAAAGCGAAAAAGAGGAAGGCCAAAGAACACCTTACGTCGGGAAGTAGAAGCAGATATGAAAAGGATGAACAACAACTGAAAAGAATTGCCCAGGACAGGGTTGAATAGAGAGCGACCTATGCTCCTTCACAAGGAGTAACAGACGTAAGTAAGTAAGGAACAGGTGACCCCTTTATATTCAAACAGGCCGACGTGGTAGGCGTCTATACTCATTAAATATTGATGTATCTATAAAAGAATGATTTCCTCCTTATTAACATCAATCAAGAAATAGAATCGTCAGAAACAAACATATTTTCTCATACAGAAAACTTCAATATTCATGCTTCAGTTTGAGTAAAGTTGTTTTGTTCATTGTCAGTTCATAACTGTAAATCGGATAATATATTTTTTCCTTTAGATCCACTTATTAAATTAACTGATGCTGAAGTTGTGTAATATTCAATTTCTCAGAATTCTTCGAATTAAATTCATAATCTATGGTTATATTATTCATTTCATATTGTATACATGATCTCAGAATTGTTTTTTTCTAATGTTTACGATACTGTATTTTGAATAGTACTATGTAGTAGTAGCATTTAAGATGTTCTTTTTGTTATAACTTGTAATCTGTGTGCCGTGTTACTCTATAACGTAATGATACCGCCAATTAGAGAACAGTGAATTATCGATTAGATCATTGAAGCATGAAACCCGTTCGAGTAGTCTGAAGTCCTTATTGGTCCTGATTCTTGCCGAACCTATTCTGTTAAGTCTAGAACACCAATCTCAGCCTCTGAAATATGAATCATGCATTTCAAACATACTGAGTTCATATACCAACCAGACAAACCACATCATACCATAAAATAGGAAACAACATTTGTACAAGATTTAACCAAATGTGGCTGTGAATGAGGGAGGTAGTAATTGATAGACAGGGCATAATTCAGGAATGATAAATTGTATAATAATAATCTATAGGTCAAAATAAAGCTCATAATAAGAGGAACACGAATATGAATGGTTTAGTTACTTAATAATTATACAATAAAAATTTATGTATCATACTGGTTCATAAATGGTTCTCAAAAGTTACCATTCATTATTCTGATTGGGATATATAACAATAAGTTTATTTCAGTAGTTAAAATCATGAGTCAATTGAAGCTAGACCACCATTGAAAACCTGGAAGCACTGGACGGCCGTTTCGTCCTAGTATGGGACTCCTTATTAGTACTCATCCACGATCCCTCTCTCCGCAAGATTTGAATCCAGAACCTATCAATGCCGTCCAGTGCTTCCAGGTTTTCTATGGTGGTCTAGCTTCAATTGGCTCATGATTTCAACTATTAAAATTTCTAAAATCTCCACAAAACCCCTTCTGATAATAAGTTTGTTATACTTTTGATAGTGAACACAGTAAAGGAGATCGGTAAATTCAGTAGTGGCTATCAGTAAATTGCAACTGTGGGTTTATTCATTATGACATTTAATGAAGTTATGATGATTTGAATTTAATCAGTCTGTTAGCAGGCTATAGATTGGATTAAAGCATAATCCGTGTACGATCGTGTTGAGGCACGCTGATTGGTTATTTACTAACCAATCAGCGGTAGCGGATACTTGAAGAAGACTGTGGAATATTCTCATGTAAAGATTATAAATATACTAACGTTTTTCTTATTATGATTCCTACTTCCATCCACCATTCTTATTTGGAATATAAGTATGTTCCTGTTCAACCGTATTTTGATTTGGGGACTTGCCGAGTGAAACAGTGTCCAATAATATCAAGCAATAAAAGTAGCTGGATCATAATAGGAGAACTCATAACAAAGCATAAAGTAAATCTGTAAATACATAAATTCATTGTTAGATTATTCAAAAATTGTTACATGGATTTTGTGGTAAATGTCCATGTGGCATCAGTGTCTAAACTCTTCATTTGTATTTCGGACCATGTCAGTTCCATTCCAGTTATAACAATACTAGACAAACATTTCAGTCACAACCATGTCTCAATAGCTCATCAAATAAGACTTTAATATCCATGGTGATATATTCTGAATCCGAGTCTTTAGGGAGAACATAGATACTAGGGAACAAATATAAATACAGCTGATTAGTTCCCGAAGAGGACGTTTTACTTGTCGTGGATTATAATTTAGCCCAAATACTAATGTGTAAATGTCGATAATATCGTGATAACTGTTGAAAGAGTCTACATACTGAATACGGTCAGTCAAATTCATATTATTACATCAACAATCAAGTTTTAAAATCTTAACAAGTAAATAACCCATCTTTACTTAGAGTTTTAAATATAACTCTGTATAATTGTTGTTTTCATTTTACCGATCAATAGAGAGTGTATAAAGAATGTGGGTTTGAAGAAGTTACACGAAGCTTATGAAGTTCTTGATCAAGATTTATCTTCAGAATCTCAAGAGGTAAACTGCTTACAATTCATCATTTTGACACTATACATATTTCGAATTTCAATTATTTCCTAGAAAATGCATATAGAGTCATTTGTTATTGATACTTAGCCACTCTCTACATAAGTAGGAAATGCTTAACAGAGTAGTATTAGTTTTAAAGAAAACTAGTGAATGAAACAAGATATGGCATCGGCCCAGGAAGATGTTGACTATTTATCGAAGCCATGTTGATACATGCAAACATATAGGCTGAAGAGTGGACAATGATTATAACTTTTGGTTAATGACTCGAGGTGACGGTGCGCAAACTGGTCTAAGTTTTAACATTGTTTCTTGTTTTTTTTTTAATTTCCATATTTCATTTCATCGTTTTAGAATAGTGAAATTACTATCATTGATACCGTTACTGTAATGTACCAGTAGCGATAATCCTACAAACCCAGTTATTACATATACCAACGTTCGACTGGTCACACAAAATCCTCACCCCTTTCTCTAAAAATTATTCAGAGCTGGAGGAAAGTCGACTGACTACCCATCTACTATTTTGTATTATTTAGACTTTCAAACTCATGTAATTATGCATGGGAAAAATGAGTTCAAAATACTTTGTAGATAATTAACCTCAATGAGTACATAAATAGGACATTTGTGATGGACATTTGAACTATAGATGGGATTGGTTGAAGCTAAACATTAACACCGTTGGATTCCAGCTCATCAATATAGAGGTTAAGCGTTTGAGACCGAAGGTCCTGGGTTCGAATTCTGCGCTTGGGATCGTAGATGAGTACTGCTGGGGGAGGGGGTTCCATACTAAAATGACATAGTCGTCCAGTGCTTCCTAGTTCTTAATAGTGGTCTAACATCGATCGATTCATGGTTATAATTATAACTCAACAATCTCCACAACTCCATACTGCAGGAAAAGGTGTGAACCACATATGGAGAAATTCGAACGTTTCACTTCTATCTGAAGTTTGTGTTGATAATATCGTTCAGAAGAACAATCAAAGCTCCACGACCAAACCATCCAACTCAGAGAACGAAACCCCATCAAAAATTAACTATATTCGATACAGATCGTAATATAACAACAATTAACTGAAGATAAAAATGTTATTCACTTAACTTATCATCAACTCAATATGATCTAACAGTCAAGAGTTCGACTTTATGTGTTTTCATGAATGTATATTACTTAGAACGTATAAATAACGGTATTTATTGTCAATATCCTCTCTTTTCAACGAAATTACTATCAAGTTGTACAAGTGTATATATATGAAAACTGGTTTTTGTTTTTGTTAAAGTACTAATTCCTTGAAGATATGTGAACATGAATAACCAAGATGACGTAATAGAGAGATTATAATACTAGATTACGTAATACGAATAATAATAATAATAATAATAATAATAATAATAGGATGAAACGGCCGTCCATTGCTTCCAGGTTTTCCATGGTGTTGGTCTAGCTCATGATCTCTACTGTTGAAATTACTACAATCTCCACAAAACCCCCTTCTGATAATAATAATAATAATAATAATAATAATAATAATAATAATAATAGACTTAGCCAATTAGTAACGAATTATAACGTGAATGTCGTAAGATGACTAAAATGGTTTTGTTACAATAATTAAAGGTCATTAAAGATCATAGAGGTGTAAAAATAAATAAAGTGATATGATGAGTACTTATGAATAAAATAATGAGAATATGAGACATAATTAAAGGGGGAATGCAATAATAATAATAGTAATAATAATAGTAATAATGATCAAGGTCAAGGTAACGATAACGATAGGACGTACTTCTTTTGTACGCATAGTTCTGGCCTAAGCTAATGGATGGTAAGTGCTTCGGCTATTTTGTAGGAGGTGGATAGGAAGAAATCTAGGTAGATTTGAATGAATCGTATATATAACCTTAAAATCAAACTATGAATCCGTAGAATGATCACAGTCGATTAAGTGTTCAAGTATAGAACTCCTAACTGCCTTCCTCTCACCCTTATAGAATCAAACTGGAATGTGTTGCCGTATCCGAGTTGAAATCGATCGCTGGCTACGACCAATATACTTTGCTCCACAAGAGCAAGTGAACTGGTAAATGAACATGAAAGGCGGACAGACAAGGAAGCTTATCTTTTATCGATATAGAAAATTAGTTCCTGCTACTAAATGTTATTCGTAGTTATACCACGTTGAATATTCTTTTAATTGTTGTCGTTAAACGATCACCTTTAAAATTTTCACATATATATAAATATACGATCGTACAGCTTGATAACAAATTCGTTAAGAAGAGATCCCTTCATTGAGCTTCGCGTTTTTAATATTGAAAGGGGAGTTATCTTGTCCATATCCTTTCTGTTTTATCCTTTCCGTTACTTCCTTTTTTTTTGCTTTTAGATATTATTAAAGAAAATACTTGGCATAGATATTTATTCACAATATATGAGTAAAATTTGGCAGCTTAAACTTCTTGAACAAAATACATTTGAAAAAGAGTCAGCCAGTTAATAAATGACCAGCCGTATAGTTATAATTCTCTTTTTAAGGATATATATATATACATGTATATTATAACGCCCCCCCTTGTTTATTTTTTGACAGTTTTTTTTAATATACTTTTCATTGTTACTTTGATACCATAACTTCGGTTTAGATACCCAGGGCATCATCCTAGCCCTCGTACAAATCGAATGATTTGTATGGCCCATATCTATTTGGTCGCTCTTTGTATCAATGTTTATATGTTTAAGCAATAATAATAATAATAATAATAATAATAATAATAATAATAATAATGCCATAACATAAACACATTATGAGTATATGAGTAATTTCCGTTTACATTAGGCACTGATTTATTAACATAGATCTTATGAAACATTCATTATATTATGTCATCAGTTGAAAAAGTAGAATATTTAAAACAAAATTATTAAATTTATTTATGGACTAACTTCAATGTAGGATGATTTTATACATAAATGTCATTTCATAGTCAATTCATATTATTTTTTTTACTATTATTATTCATACTACTTACAAATGTAAATGAGTAGAATATAATATTTGTGATATATTTGATTTTTGTTTTAAACTGGTTCATAGTTTCAAGTATTGTGACTTGGTGAACTTTATCTGTATAAAAAGGATATTTTTCTAATGTGTGGGCGAGAATGATTGATTGTTTGTTTAGTCGGACATGTAGATAGTCTGACAGGTGTGTCAGATGCCCTGGTACGGCTGAGAGTGGGGAGAGTCCGCTCTCCCTCTCCAAATGCTCTCACATGGTCACGCGTATATAGCCTCTGCCAGGGAAGTCCTACTCACTGCCTTCTCGTGGCATTACTGTTGTTTACGAAAATGAGAGGACGAAAACCGAATTTCCGGCGCTTTCACCGGATCCAAAATCAATGGTGCACATGGGCCCCAGTATCCTGAAGGATCAAATGGCGTATGAACCAATCGTTGGTCACCGGCTACCATGGGACTGCATCTCCTCACGATGCTCCACTGCCTTGTGGGTTAGACGTTCAGGTCGAAGGCTCGGGGTGTGGCGCCCTAAGAAAACCACCTGCTTCGGTTTGGGCAACCGGGCAGTATCACAGTTCTCACACAAATCAATTGAGATTTGTGTGGCGCATATGTATTTGGTGCCTCCTTGTACCTATACCTATGTGTTAAAATAAATAAATAAAAAATAATATATATTCCCTTATCCTTATTATTATTACTACTTATTATTGATTGTTCATTGTTGTTGGATTTTGTCGGGTTTTGGTGTGGAAATATAGTTACATTGTGGACAGGCTAAACACATGTTCTTGATCTGAGTTGTTTTGACGTCCTATAGAATAGACACTGGGAAGGGAATCTAGTATAGATAATTGTTTATGGTAAATTAACGTCTCATACGTGTAAACGTGTAAACTCAACCGTTATAACATTAGATGAAGTAAAACTGAGCGTTATAACAATTGACGATGGGGTGAAAAACAAAGAATCAAGAGTACAAAACCACAACAATAACTGAACATACACTTAACAGGTTTCATATATGACCAGATAAAGTGTATTTTATAACATAAACAGAAGGATTGGTACAATTTTGTCTGCATAAATCCTTTTTCACATTAGCGTAATGAAACTAAATTAATAGGATTAAGAGTAATAGATTTGTAGCTATACCATGTGTAGAGTTAAACTAAACATCGGAAAAAAAGGAATGAGAAGAACAGGTGAAATATGCAAGATACTAATAATACTCACTACATATGGAATGTAAAGGGAATATACACAATTATTTAATCGAGTATTTTTGATCATCTTCCCAACGAGAGGATTCTAATTGCAAAATAAAGTTATTGTATGGACTTTAACTAGGCTTTCCGTAACGCTCAATACGCTTTAATCTGAAAGTTAGGGAATTAATGGGTTAATGTGATACAGAGCCCATTTCAACATCAGCACTCTACATTCAAGCCTGTTTTAGACAATACTTTCCAGATTTTTTCAGTCTCTATTCATTCTTATCATGTCTGATTACAATTCCCAACGTACTGTGTTTTCCTTGGTCTGCTTGTTTTCCTTTTCCCTTCAGAATTTCAAGTTAGCGCTTGCCTCGTGATGCAGTTTGGTAATTTTCGTAATGTATATCCTATCCACTTCTAACATCTTTTCCTAATTTCCTCTTCAGCTGGGAGCTTGTTTGTTCTCTCCCACAGTGGGTTGTTGCTTACGGTATTCGGTCAACGGACATTCAATATCTTGAATAGACAATTGTTTGTAAATACATGTACATTGTTGATGATGGTTGTAGTAGTTCTCTGATTTTCGGTTCCGTACAGTAGAACTGTCTTGATGTTGGTATAGAAGATTCCGACTTTGATATTTGTTGAGAGACAGTTGTTTCGAGGTCCATACAATCTTCAATTGTGCGAATGCAACCCTTTCTTTGCCAATCCTTGCCAGAAGGTGTACATCAGATCCTCACTATTTATCGACGGTGCTACCCAGACAAGTGAAAAATTCTATCACTTCTAGAGTTTCACCATCAAATGTGATTGGGTTGGCGTTCTCCGTGTTGTATTTAAGGATCTTGTTTTTTCCTTTGTGTACAATGAGGCCTACTGATGCAGAGAATACTGCTACACTTACTAATTGCTGATATGAATGTTAAAAAGTGGATAGACTTCGTAACTTCTGAAGAAACTCGACTTTGGGAAGAGATTAAGTGGTTTGAACATTTTTCAGGTTATCGTTTTTAACAAGGTCGTTTTTTCCGAGATGGTGTTGCTGACTCGATGCCCAAACCTCCTCCTCTATTTCAGTTTGTGACAGGCCTTATAAAGTCTACAGACGGAGTTAATATAATATGACCATGGATTATTAACTCATCCATGTGTGGTATTAAATATCCGTAAAAAGACAACAAAACAATCAGTGATTATAGAATTCCATGGGCATAACATATGCCCATGTAAATAATCTACCAATTATAAATTATTCAATTTACATAACTTTAAGCCTCACTATTAACATGAAAGCTTATTAAACAAACTTTTGACTACCGCTAACTGAATGAACCAGATCAGATAGTTTCTTATTCGTCTAAATCAGAATGATTTTTTAACTTCATTAACCTGCTGTTTAATGATTGCTTAAATATCTTACCAATCTTAATACTTAAGAGTTCACCATATTGTTATTGACATTCTTTTTGTGGGTACGGCCTATCGGCGAACTCAAGAAAGCTCTAATAATCTCTGAAAGAGCCGAAGATATTCCATCCAATCATCTTTTGTAAGAATATTTCAGAATCCCCACATGTAGCTTCCCTATTGGACAAATGATTTCGTTTTTACTAAAAACTATAAATACCTAACAGCTTTGTATCATAATTAACACAGTTTTGGAATACACTCATTTCGCTTGTCTTCTGTTTTCTCATTTGCAACTTGAAGGGTTCTAGCGTTCAAGTGCTCTAGTTGTACGCGGTCTAATAAGAAACTAAGCTCTAGATATAACACTTCTCCATTATCCATTCATTCATCATATCATACAAATTAATTGGGTCAACAAAGTTTTCTGTAATATTTTAATGAATTTTAATTGTAATTTGATCTCATCGACACATTATTCTCTTTTTACCTATGGTTCTCTGATAGTAAATGTGCTAATGAACGTTTCATATACGTTGACGATTAATTACTCAAGTAAAATACATCCGTACTTAAAACAACCATCAGAAATTCAGAAAAAAAACTAGGAAACTACAATGTGTTAAACAAAAATAGTTAGTGGCTAACAGAGGAATTAAGGATGCTCATTTCGTTCGATTTGAGACTCGTCAACTGGATGTACCTGCATCTCATAGTTAATGTTCACTCTGTGACTCGAACCAAACACCGTTCGCTTCAAACGCAAACACATTACCCACTTGGCTACTGAGTCCTGATAAGTACATGCTTGTGCAATGGGGTGAAGTTTTAAATTCACTTGGTGTCGTTTACTTGAATTTCCCCATTGATATTTAGAACTGGTGCATCCAACTAACGAGTCCCAAATAGGATAAAACGCTCATCCTGCATTCTACTAATAGCCACTATCCATCTTTGCTTATAAAGCTTGTGACCTAAGACAAAACCGAGGCGATTCGCACAGTATGTACATATGCCAACAAGAAACTGATCACTTGCACTTCTAAACATCAATGGGAAGATACAAGTAAAACAACACCAAGTGAATTTATATTGTGTTAATTTTAATATTGGGTCCTAATACTCATATAACTATATCAACAAAGTGCAAGACTGAAATCTATAATAGATAAATCATTATTAATATAGAAAAAGAATAGTTGTGATATAAAGATGAACGCCAATAATTTTTAGTGGCCTGTGATCTGACTCCAGTTCTATCATATGAATGATTGATATTGAGATATACAAATCGCCAATCCTCGTATATTATCATCACTTTCGATTGACAATACATACTACTTATATCTATCGATATCAGTAGCACACACCACACTAGCGATAATAGTAATAGGTGATTGATTACAGTAATTGATGTGATTTAAAAGCATTTGATAGGTTATTTCACTGCTTCTCATTGAAGTTTTTTCTCGATTGATATCTCTCTTTTATATTAAGATATCTTGTTATTTTGGTGTTGTTACATTTTGTTAAATATACTTACAGTAGAATGTCAAAATGCCATTTTGTACTATGATTCATTCTTATCAGGACTGATTACTAATTATTACATCAGTGTGAATAATGCATTGATGATATTGTCTAAGATATTAATTGGAGCTTCACAGATAAACCATGCAAGTCTCAAAATACAACATAATTAAAACCTGATTACCACTTTTACCAACGTTTAATACATGTTATTATTCTTGAGATCACAAACTGATCAAATTTATACTATAATTGAATACCTTGAAACACTAGGCGACCTTTTCGTGCTAGTGTGGGAGGTATCAATTGAAGATAATGGAA